CGAAAGGCAAGGGCAAGAGCAAGCAGTAAGCATCCGCTTCGCTCGATCACAGCCACGGAGCTCGACATTCTTTTCTCTTGACTTTACTCTTATACCCTACCTGTATCGTGTTCTTATACACGTCAGAAAGGTCACTTCACTGGCGTTCCCTGGCGGATAGCAAGTCCTTTGCTGCAGCATATGATACCCCCCAGCCTCATACGGCTTTCTCTTTGCGTCTTGCGATTATGAATTTTGGATGTTAGCTCTGCTTTCGAGCTACGAGTTCCCTTCTCATTATCCTATTGTGTTCAGTCCCATTCAATTGGGCATTTTTCGTGTATAAGTCCCATTAACTTGGGCAATTATCGTGTAAAAGTCCCGTTATCGGGCATACCCTCATGGGTACTGGGTGTATCGGTCAAGTTTTGGCCCTCATCTGGCAGCTGCCAAGTGTGAGTTTGGTGGAAGCGGCAGAGGCGAGGAGTGGGCATGTATAGTAGTAGATACACTCGGTTGCAACCCTCTTGTATTTGCGTCTCAGTGCGAGAATAAAAACTAAGTTGCTTGCGACACTTTTTGATCACTCAGTACCTTGTTTGTGCGCGCGATGGTTACATGCAAGTAATGGTTACTCTAGCAACTCTACCTAAGTGTTCCACTCAACCTCCATTTCCGACGACTCTTCTACCTCAAAAGATCATATACCCGTTGCGATATCATTGGTAGACACAGTGATCGCATCGTTACAGCGGAGACTGAGGTCCAAATTGCGGCAGGCCAAAGGCTGTAAACCCCAGATTGAAAAGGCTTGCGATTGCTTCTCCAAGAATCAGTCCACTACCAATAACCTCGACGCTCGATGCATTCGAGGGAGTACGACGAATCCAGACCCATGTGAACAGCCCGCCTGCAGTTCGTGCGATAGTATATGCTGGGAGAAAAAATATCCCTTTCCATACTAGTCAGCGATTTGAGTCTCTCACAAGGGTTAGCGCTAGACTTACCAACGGCGAAAGATACACCCGAAGGAATAAACACCCGCCACCAGCGATTCGGATATAATGTGCGCAAAATCGTTGCGGCCACAAAGAACATACCGAAGCCTAGCATGAATATTGATACTCCAGGGGGAAGCCCTCTCCCCAACACTAGTTTTGCTGTACTAATAAGAAGAAAGGCGGAAGGGACCTGTAGGAAAGATCCCGGGATCTGGAATCTTGATACATAAAGCCTGTACGTTACGCTAGAAACTATCGCTCCAAATACTGACCCGATAACTTGACCGTATAACTGGGCAGTAGGCATAGCGCCTACAAGTTGCCCAATCTTGAAGTCGTATGCGAGGTCGCCGGTTTGGCTCGCGCCAGCTGTGGAGATAGATGCAGAGATGATGTTGATTAGAACACCGTTGGCGCTCGAGTGTGGGACAATGGATGCGAAAAACAGTTGAGATACTATTATACTTAGCCAATGGATAGTGTCCAAGGTAAACGACAGATATGATGCCCAAAGCAAACTTACATAGACCACTCTCTGGATTGTAATCTGACTCCCCCAGAGTTCTAATGCTAACGACTGCCATTGGCAAGGCTAGTAGCACCGATAGAAGCACGTGATACCACGGTACTACTGAGGAAAACACGATCGTGGTAGTCGCGACGCACAAGAGTATTGACAGACCAAAAGCAGCTATCGGTGCTGTTCGCTTCATGATACTCATTGGTGCGTCTGTATTGCTATCATTGCAGATTTCATGATCTGCAGCAAGCGTGTCTTCCCTCGCCAAGCGTCGATGCCACACAGCATGACTTCGAAAGTAGTGCGTGTATGCAGTGAGGTACCGCGCCGTTGTTATGGACAGCTTCAAGACAAATCCAGCCTATCTTGACCACTGCGTCGGCAATGAGAGCGGATAGACTAATCCAGATAATCCAACCTCGGCTGCCAGTCTCCCAGCCATCGGTTGGTCCTGGGGCATAGCCTCGAGTTTTGGCGTATGGACTAAGTATCGCCCATCCTACGATTGCGCCCAGCAGCATATGTAGGGTAATTTCTGGACCCATAATCATCCCGCCGCCAAAAAAGCCGGGCGACAACGTAGCTGTCCAAAGCCATGTGTTTGCCACGTGTGATCCAAATATAGGCAAATCGTGGAGGACTGGTAGGAAATATGTAAACACAGTCTGCATCTCGTTAATCTCACTCCGCATCGAGAAATGTTCGCACCTACGATGATGGAAGAAACACCCGCCGAATTGAAGATCGCGCGCAGCCGATGAGGGGTGAATCCCGCATGCTCTTGTTCTGTCTGATCTTCGGCTATCGTATGATCCACAGTAGGTGTGTGCAGCGACTTTATGACGTTTGAGCTTGCCGTTGCACCAGGCCATGGCATATCTTTGGGCATGACAAGCGACCTTCTGAGCAACGACGCAAATATTATACCAAAGAAAGCGACGCCAAGCGACCAAACAACTGAACTTTGCCACGATAGATGCACTGGGCCCATATCTACAGGCTCAAGTATATACTCGAGCGCAGGGATCAACTCAGTGAAGCCCGCTGTAACAGCCATGCAGCCAGTGGCTGTTGCGGTGCTTGCGATTAGTACATTCTCGGCCCTGGAAAGCTTTTCGACACCGAATCTAGAGAGGAATCTGAATCCAAGGTAGCCAAGAAGTGCGGAAACTATGGGCATCTGTTGGCTGCTACCTGAGATGAGGCCATAATAGGTATTGGAGATGTTGATCAGGACACCGATGAGCATTCCAGCAAGCACAGCCCGTACCGAGAAGTCACTGTTTTTATCAATCGCATCCTTGATTCTTCTTCTGTCCCCAAGTAACGGTTCCGAACCTGAAGTGTCCATTTGCCAAGATCGACTGGAAAGGCGAATGATTGGTCTTGAGTGTTAACACGAAATGGGTAGCCCGGCTTTCGCCAACGCTTGGTGGGTCGCGCTCGTGTGAAGAAGAAAGGATAAGCGTTCAGAAAATATCGGGTTGTGAAAAGCCGTGTTCGAGTTCCTTGGGTAGAATTGGTTTGGGGATCTCCGTTGACCCAGGCACTAATGTGCCGCAATCCTCGATCTAGCGATTTACAGACTAGCTCGCGGGCTAGCGGGTGCATGCATGGATGACACTGCAGCCTGCGAGGCCAGCCAATTGCTGGAGTACTGAGAGATTCAGCAAGGTGGGAAGATAATCATGATTTCATTGGTCCGTTACACCCAATCGGCATGGCTGGAAGTCATTGAACTGTTTGATCTGTCGTTGTTGTAAATACACCCTTCATGACAGCTTCCAAGTTTGGCGCAAACGTTGCCGGACTAACTCACTCCAGAATGCCACAGGCGGTTATGTGATTGTCGCACTTACATCCTACCAGATCGCTCTCGCTTTTCAGCCAATCTCATACTATGCGTCGTCATTGGCAGAAGTGGCGACAGGGCTTTACTGTGGAATGACGTAGATGGAGGCATCTGGCAGGGTTGGCGCAGAACATGCTGTGTAGGGCCAAAGGCAATCTACGGTTCAGCGATCAGAATTCTGTCTTCTGGTTTACAGATGCCTAGCGCGTGTAACCTGCTGCCCTTGTCACGCTCGCCGATCGTCCCACCTAGCCTTCACCGGTCATGATAAGCTATACAGCCTGGATAACCGTCGATTCATCCCATAGCCACGGCTCCTCATCCTCACAGTCAAGCCGTGCTCATCAGCTGCTACATCGACCATGCTTGCATCACACATCTCATGAACATGCCTCAGACACTTTCTGTTATTGATACCGGCGCTGTATTGACTGTCCTAGGAAGCACGGACGTGGTTGATTGGGACACGACGTACGCAACAAGGCTGATAGTTGATGCATGATCACTAACCCAACGATGTTAGCATCATCGCCATTCCTGACATCGGAAATCCCATATCCGTTTCGGATTGGACAGATGGGCAGTCTTGTTGGCTGGAAACTGTACTACCTTCTCTTGCCAAAAGACCACGTGTGTACGTGTTCCAATGGAGCGTCAGAGGAGGCAAAGAGTTTTCGTGGGATCAACTTCTCCAATGTGGCGATAAATTACTCGAAAGACTGCTTGAACTCCCCGAAATCCCTGAGGTACTTAACCGTTCATTCTAGAAACTCAGATTGCTGAATATCTTCATAGTTCGTAAAGAAGCCTATGGTCTTTATTTGTCATGGGTTGGGTGGAATCGTTGCCAAACGAGTGCGTCCCAAGAACTAATTGTTCAGTCTCGCTCCAATAACAGCTTACAGGCCGTACAATCACTGCATCGGAACTTTTATAATCCGGCTATCAATTCCTTGGTCACCTGTGTGGCTGGTATGGTCCTTTTGGGCACCCCGCATCCTACCTTTGAAAGACAACAAGACTGGCCCAAACTAACACAGATCATCAAAGCAAGTACGCAACTTTCCAGAAAGGCTTTGAACGATGTAGCACGATACGTCCCAGCGGTTGCTAGAGCTTCACGCATGTTCGAAGAATCTAATATCGACATACCGATTCTTTCAGTGTACGAGACGAAATCGAGCAAGGTCGGCTCGTCCCTGTTCTCCAAGCATGAAGTCGTGAGTAAGCTTCTACAAAAAGGATTTCTTCAAGCTCGAAGTAACAAGTGAAAAGCTTGTAGAGAGATTGTTGGCTCAGACCGGAGCTAAGGAAGAGCAACTTCTCCAAGCGGATAAGATGCATTCTAAGATATGCATGCTATGTGCGGGTGACAACTTATCATTGCAACTTCGAGCTTTCTTCACCAAGGTAGAGAGTTCCATATCTCGGCAACGTTTGGAGGCGTCAACGCAGCGTGAGCAGATTTCTCTCTTTGGCCAATTCTTCCTGACAAACGCAGATACGGCTAGTGTGGCTTGGACTAAAACAGTGGAAGAAGTACCACAACACGGACGTACGATCCAACTTGATGGTATCTCGGGATAGTAACCACTAAACTGATACGATTGCAGGTCCACTACCTCATACAGATTCCTCGTTTCCCTCCATGCCAGCGGCTACAGGAGGTGCGAGCGTCGATGTAACTAGCTATGAGATTCTTGGTTTGCGGGAGCCCATGAAGGGTGTTTACCAGACCGTCCAGCTACCTCAATACTTTTTCAAGCCGCATACACGTAATCCTGACTTCTTCGGCCGTCAAGACGTCCTCCATACCCTAGCTGAAGGACTCAATCCTTCGGTTGATTCACGTTCCAGATCATTTGCTCTATGCGGAGCTGGTGGTTTAGGGAAAACCTCGGTTGCGGTAGAATATGCCTACAGGAACAAAAGCATGTACGAAGCCATATTCATCTTACAGGCTAGCGATTCAGAGAAGCTGGCGCAATCATTTGCAGAGATTTCACTCGCTCTTGGTCTCGAGAGTGAAGCTGGAGACCAGATTGTCAGTAAGAACCTTGTCTTCAGATGGCTCTCACAGCCAGTCAGGCGCATGTCAGAGGGTACTGCAATCCTGGAAGATCAAAATCAGGATATTGTCCCGTGGTTGTTGGTGTTTGATAACGCCGATGATCTGAGTATCCTCCGCGATTATTGGCCTGAGTCCGAGCATGGATCGATATTAGTGACCAGTCGAGACCCTCTAGCGAAAACCAGGACGTACGTGGCCATTTCGTCCGGACTGGAGCTCGAGCCTTTCGTGGAAGTCGAAGCTGGGTTGCTATTACGGAAGTTGACAGGGCTCGCAGCGACTGCCGATATCCAGTCGTCTGAACTGGTCGCTCGGAAGCTCAGCGGCTTACCACTTGCTATAATGCAGATCGCAGGAACTATGGTTCGTCGGGATCTATCCTTTGAAGAATTTTCATCACTCTACGATCAAGAAGCTCTTCGAGCTGACCTGCACCGCGCAAACGAGTTTGCAAGCACAGCAAGGACTCTTTACACGACCTGGAACTTCCATGATCTTAGCCAAAGTGCTTTGTCTCTGATCAATGTGATTACCTTCTTCGATCCAGACCAGATTTCGGAAGACATCTTGATGATGATGTCAAGCGTGGGAGTTCGCCATCGACCAGAGGAATATCCTGTAACAGCTACCGGATTCATGGACGCGCGTTCAGAACTAGCAAAATCATCTCTGGTCAAGCGTAATCGGGAAAGGAAAGAACTCGTGATACATCGCATTATACAAGACGCAGCAAGGTTGCGAATGCAGCCTAATGTCGTAGATTCATGCTTTATCAGCGTGACACATCTCCTCTATACCGCTTGGCCTTTTAGCGAATTTGAATTCAGTACCGCTCGGTGGCGCCTCTGTGAACCTCTGATCTCACATGTGGCCAATCTGTATCGGATTTACCAACAGATCGATGCGCTGAAAGCTGTGAAGGAAGGTCGCCCTGAACTCGCTCGTTTGTTCATGGATTTTGGATGGTAAGATCAGTGATGCTGGAACGAGATTGGCTTTTCTTACACTTACTCATACAGGTATTCCATTGAAAGAGGAATCCTTGACGAGGCTCGACCTTACCTTCAAAGCTCTCTTGAACTGTGCGACCTGGTTCCTGAATCTACTTATATCACGCGAGGAGATGCCGAGGGTTGTCTAGCTCAGCTTTTGAATCTCACCAACGATTACAAAGCCGCCATGGTACATGCCAAAGTCTCAGCCAGCATATTTCAAGTACACGATCCACTGGGCTGGAGGATGGCCCAAGCCCATAATGAGGTCTGTGAGGCGTACATTGCAGCTTCCAAGTACGAGGAGGCATTGCAGCAAGCCGAGCTTTCCATGAAAAGCTATTTCGCACTTCCGGAGGACGACTATCCCGACTGGGCAGTCATGAACAAGGCTTACGCGCTGTACAAATTAGGTCGGCTTGACGAGGCTAATGACACGCTTGAAGATTACCTAGATCTACGAGCAAAGAAGTTTGGACCGATGGATTCTGAATCTCTCAAGTCAGTACACAATGGAACAGGGACTACCTTAGCTGACTCGTACGCAGAACTGGCCAATGCCTCTACTTACTGGGTCTAGTTCGATTGGCTCAAGGTCGGCCAAAAGACGGCCTCACGTTTTATACGAAGGCGCTAGATCAGTACCTCTCAACGATTGGACCGAATCATTTTCGGGTGGCGATGCTCTACCATAGGACAGGCGAGCTCCACCTAGCAATAGGTCAACTGATCAATGCTTGGTAGGTTCCAGAATGCTGATTCGCATTTCATCTCGCTAACACTCCTTCAAAGCGATATGTTTGAAAGAGCATTCAGGACGTTTGATGAACGACGACAATATGCCACTCAGGTCGCGCGTACACTGTACTCGCTTGCGCTAACCCAAGAGATGGCAGGTCGACATGAAGACTCAGCTCGTACGTCGGAAAAGTATAGCATTGCTATGTGTAAGTTATCTAAGGAACATGGTCGTGAGCTGAAGTACAAAGATTTGGATGATCTGATACGGAACAACTGGGATTGATCGAACTTATCTGCTTAGAGGATCAGATCGATGCAATATTGAAAGCGCTTCTCGTAGTCTTCACATGACGCAATGACAACTACTTCGCATCGTCCATAATAGTGGCTTGGTACTAGCGACACATTATACTTCTTTTACTAGGTATCAGAGCAAGATTATCCTTTCGGGTTTGCTTTGTATCAGTGCGCCTCACTAAACGGCGGTAGCTTTCAAGACTTAGGCACCCGTCCAGCAGAATATCATTACTGCGCCTGGTTATTGGTGGGGTTCCTGCAAGCCACACTATCATGTGTCGCGTACCCATGTCCATGTGGTAGACCGGGATTGGTGTTGGTGGGCGGCTTAGCCATTTGGACCCCTTGAAAATCGGCCTGACCTGAGACAGTATTCAACCGTGTCGGTTGTATCAGGCGTTTTCTGTCTCTGCTTTAGGTCTGTCGCTGTTGCGTGGCATTGAGTTGATGTCACTGCGTATACACAGCCCCACTGATCCGTGTTATGCGCACACGACGTGCACCTGTTCCAATACCTTATAGTATCGTTTTCTAATTCCTGTGAAACAATAGTGGACACTCACCTTCACATTGACTGCCTGATGGAGATGAACTGCAGATCCCACGATAGTACCGATGGACTTGACCATCAAGGGTCACAGCTTTCACTCCAAAACTCCGCTCATGACACCAATCTTCGGCGAAGACGGACGCCAAGTGACTATGCTAAAACCGTCTCGAAACACTCCACTCGATCCGAACATGATTCCCTCTACCCTGGTGTACAATACCGCTCTATTGTCAAATTCCTGAACTCAACCGGCCAACATCATGGAACGAAGAGTCATACTCCAAACTCCCCTTTTCCAAAGCGAGAGCATAGCTTTGCGATTTTACATGACTTGGCTTATGAGAGACAAGATCCGCAGTATTTCACAACCTTCGATGACCCGCAAGCACTATTTTGCCATCCGGCACCTCGAAAAGATTGCGGGCAACTTCTATTCCTTCGAGGGTACCCTTCACACACATGGATGAATACGATTGGTGCTAGATATCGTATCGATCCAGAAGTCTTTCGAAGACAGCTCCAGCAGGTCCCTGGAAGCGATTACTACGACTTACCAGACCTTCCCTCTTCTTCCATCAACATCATCAAACTATTCACTACCACGATCGGTTATGGGGAGGTACCTTCTAGCAGCAGGCACGAACATGAAACTCAGCTGCAAGATCACTTCAACAATCTCGGAAAGAGCGGACTGATTGGAGAGTCGATCATCCGCCAACTCTGGAATCATGACGAAATGCATTTCTCGATTGAGCAAAACATTATCGTGAATGTCGTCAGAAGACAAGAGGGCTGGCTAGGTACACTTGCCAGGAAGCTAGCAAGTGAGACTGTACTGACTTGATGACAGCATTGATACTCCTTGACCACGGACGGGACCTTGATGAAGGACCACAAGGTCCTTGGCTGGAGCCTCTTTGCCAGAGAGGCAAGTTCAGCAGCGTCTTTCAGCCCGTGATCCAGTTTGAGCCGAAAATCTGGTCCACGGAGAAGCAAGCGAATACGAACAATCTTGGTGTGTCGAGTGACGTGGCCAGCGCGACCCGGAGACCATACGCACAAAGCGCTTCATTACTGGCTAGCCGTCACTACGGCCAATTTTTGTCGTTACCATTGATGCGTATCGATCCTTTCTATGCCCTGCACGATCTATTCATATTCTGTAGCAGCGCTGAAAATCAGTTCTTGAACGCTCTGAGATACAAAGTGAAGTCTTCATTTTCCAACAACAACGACGAGAAATATCTTCAGCAGTCTCTCGAGAACTTTCGGTACCATAAGAATATACTTCGCTCAAAGATAGAGCGATTTGAAGATATAATCAAGTGCATTCGCCTGCGTGGTGATAGAAAATGGCATACGTGGCAGCCATCAGCACAATCCCCAGCTGCCAGAGCACCGGTTCCATTACATCCGTCGAATAAAGACAAGGAGAATGCTATACTTCAAGGCGATGCAGACGCATCTGCAGTCAAAATCCTTCAAGATTACGAAGCCTTGTTGCAAAAGGCCATAGCACTCTCACGATTGTATAACGAAGAGCTGGATGAATTGCGCACCTCTGCAGCATTGCTGGAAGCCAAAAAGAGCGTAGAACAGGCCGAAAGTATTGGGAGGCTTTCTTGGTTGGCTTTTCTTTTTCTCCCCCTCTCCCTCACGGCTGCACTCTTTGGGATGAACTTCAAAGAGATTGGCACGAACCTTAGCATCTGGATTTACCCGGCCTTATCTGTTCCAATTTTCCTGCTCACCCTCTTGATCTATTTCTGGCCCAACGCCCGTCAGTTTGCCCAGATAAATCTAGCCCGATGCGGCTCTGTTGTATCGAAGCGCGACTGGCAGCGTTTGCAGCGATCAACATCGAAAACAGCCGATGCAGATGCAGCAGCTGACGTGTAGATAGCCTGACTTCCACCAATTATAGACCACGCATCGAAAACCCCAGAAATTGAGGCTTCAAGCAATATATGTCGTCTATGTAGGTAAGCTGCACCCTTGTGAGAGCAGTGCGCGACTGCAGGCAAGAGTTGGGGGCGAAGCCTTGTGCACATGCCCTCATAAACTGGCCATATGCTTCTACCTTCTGTCGATTCGCCATTGCTACCGACTCGCCACACCCAAGAGAAGCAGTGTACGCTCTGCATGGATTCCGAAACATCACCATGCGATACATTTGGGGAGATCAAGTTCGTCCGACAAAACTCTTGGCCGGAGAACGAGAAACCCTACGTCTTGACTTACCTGCCAAATGACAACTTTCCCTTGACCAATTTCGATTTCGAAGATGTACGGAATGTACCAATCAAAGATATGCGACCTATCAAAGACGAATTGTCGCTAGACCGTGAAGGATTTGTGGTCGCTGATTTTGCGAGTGCTCTAACTTACGATGAGTTTTTCGAAGAAGAGAAGTTAAGAGCAGTCTTCGCGGATGAGTTGCGAAAGTTTTGGAAAGATCGTTATGGCGTCAAAGCGGCTTACATCCATGAATGCGTCGTGAGTCTATCCGTAGATAAAGGTCTGGGGCAGTGATAACAGAGACACTAGATCAGAAAACGAGATTCATCACCAGACAAAGGATATGGACAGCCAGTCCAGGAAGCTCATACTGGTATGGTGGTCAAACAGCTATGTCATGAAAGCATATTCTCAAAGCGCACAGACTACACGATTGACTACATCCGACGACTCATACCACAGCTTGTAGGACACAACGCCGTTGATATCCTCGCGCGCCGGTTCCAGATGGTCAAGTAGGCTTTATCATCCCCCTTCCGCAACCATTATCTGACTCTCGCAGTCTATGGAAGCCTTTACGTGGGCCTGTGCGTGATTGGCCCCTCGCCGTTTGCGATTACAGCTCAGTGTCCTCGGTCGATATGATACGCGTGGATGAAGTACATAAAGAAGACATACTCGAGTCGCACGGCGTGCAATATAGTCCATCACAGAAGTGGTACTACCTAAGCAACATGAAGCCCAGCGAGATGCTGATCTTCAAGGCAGCAGATTCGCACATGGAAGGCGCAGGTATGTCTCGCAATTCAGAACTTGTTATACGCAAAGACAATTTACGAAAAAATAGTGCCGCATTCCGCGTTCAAGGATACGAGATACGAGAGCGAGCTACCACGAGAGAGTATTGAATTGAGAGTGCTACTGGTGTGGTGAAGTAAACTTGTAGTATTGTTATATAAACGAAATATGCGTCTGCCAAAGTCGTTATACCAAAAGCGAGCGATGTGGTTTTCAAGACGGCAACCTGATGGCAACACGAACATCCAGCAACTTGGTCACAACGCTCGTGCTTCGTATTGCTTGTCGTCCAAGGCTACCATACCGTTTCTAATAGACTTCCTAATTAGCTTGCTGCTTGCAAACGTGAACAATAAAACTTTATCAACACGTACCAGGCTCATCAGTTGCTACCCAACTGTGCAACAAATCTTTTCACTGTATCGATGCGCATGACTCTGTTGCCATGGGCAGTATTGGCCTCGTTAGGTTGTGCTCCTTTGCCCGTTTGCGCGCATGGGACGTTATTGGGATCGAAGGTGGAAGCCGAAGAGATGTTTTGTGGCCACCTGCCCTTCCAGGGTTGAACTTTCTGCGCCGTCATTATTGCGTATCTCTTGACTTTTGGTGGTTTGTTTGGTGATTTAGTTGACGGTCAGGATGATTGTAGAAGACATCCTGTGGGGCAGGCTGAAGTACCTGTTGTTCTGAGGCTCTGCACCTCGTCTAACCCTGTCATTTCTCATAGATGATGAGGGGAAACCTAGTCTAGTGGGCGTTGTGCTCATGCAGGCGCGCAGTCGCCTAGAATCTAATCCGCTGCGATAGCGATTGCCGCTCGATTGTTACGACCAGGCAGTGCAGCCAATGTATGGATAACACGTATTCAGCCTGCTCGGACCTGTGTTCCCGTCTCACAAAGAGGTTACTGTTCACTTATGGCTACAGAATCCCACAAATCCAGTTCTTGACTCCATAACTTCGGCTTCTTATTTCCATCAGCTATCAAAAACAGCTAAGTCACAATCTCCATAGATTTCAGCAACCAATGGACATGTTGGTAGCATTCTTCGCGCAGAACGCTTCAATCGAATACATCAGATACCAATGGGTCGACTACTCCGGCGTCCTGCACGCAAAAGTGATACCAAAAGCATATTGCCTGACTATGGAGGCCAATGATAAGCGAATCTCGCTTGCGCAGAACTGCTTGATCGTTCCCATATCCACCGCGCCTGACTGTTTCCCCGCAGGCCCACAGCGCTGGGAGTTGAGTCCAGACTGGCCGTCCCTACGCGTTTGCCATTTCAAGCCAAACCACGCCATGGTAATGTGCTTTATCACGCAGGTAGAGCCGCAAAGTGGAACACCATTCGAGAAATGTCCACGAAAAGCATTGTACCGAGCAGTCGACGCATTTGGTGATGAGACGCGTGTTCTCATCGGCTACGAGATTGAGTTCGTGCTGCTAGACGAACACGCAAATCTCGCGTCGAGTTTGGATCGAAATACCGGATTCGCATCCATGGCAGGTCTTCGCGGCGAAGGTTTGCTGATCATGGAAGAAGTATGTGAGGCCCTACTCAAGTCGGGAATAGCTGTCCAAGACTTCCACACGGAGATCGCAGATCAATTCGAGATTGTCCTTTGCCCAGAAGATCCTGTGAGAGCCATCGACGCACTCATGCTTGCGCAAGAAACCATCCGGTCAATCACGATCAAGCACGGAGTAAAGGCATCATTGGCTCCAAGGCCAGTGATATCTGGGCCTCAGAACGGACTTCATACCCATGTATCGCTGAACCCTCTTCCCGAAAATGCCGCGTCTTTCCTTCAAGGTGTTCTCGAGAACTTATGTTCCTTATGCGTTCTTGGCATGCCAAACTTCGACAGCTATGTGCGTGTCATGGATGACGGAGCTGGGTGTTACATAAGCTGGGGTACAGAGAACCGCGACCTTCCCATCCGCAAAATTGGGGACCGCTGGGAGTTTCGGTGCGTGGATGCCACAGCTAACCATTATCTTTTCCTTGCGGCGTTGCTTTCGGCAGGCCATGAGGGCATGAAGCAGAACTCTGAATTGCGATTCAAAGATTGTATGGAGTTTCAGGAAAACATGACTGCCATGAAGATGGCTTCCTATGGCATCAGTGAGAGGATGCCAAACACGTTGACTCGGACGATAGAGGCAGCAAAACATAGCGAGGGAACGACAACATGGCTTGGCAAATCTTTGATGGACGAATATATTAGGCTGAAAGAAAAGGAGGTAACTGTATTTCAATCAATGCACGATGGGGAAAGACGAAAACGGTACTTGCGCTTCTTTTAAGCAGCTCGCTGTCGATTATTCGTACTAGCTACTACTCAACCGTAAGCATGGAGCTCGAATTGGGAAAACTTGTTGAGCATACGGTTTGAGTCTCTTACCTAATATTGGAGTGTCCTTCTCCAATGTTGAGTCGATTCACGACGGACTTCGAATCCATGGAGATGTCCGCACATAGTCCTTCGGGATGATTCGGTCACGGTTTGCTCTCAAGACGGAAGGAAGTTTGCGTGCTGAAGGTTGTCGGGTTGTGCCATGCAAGGACTTCAGTGCGCAACCGTTCGATCAGCCAACAAAGTCCGCTCCACAAAAACAATGCCTTCCGCCAGAATTGAACTGACGACCTCGTCATTACTAGTGACGCGCTCTACCACTGAGCTAGGAAGGCTGATATTGTTTCGATGATGACTAATCGATGACCGCCGACCGCACAAGTCATGTTATAACATTCATCGCTTGCGCAAGTCTCTCATCGTGACGAAGATTAGGTGAGAATTCCTGAATTCGAACCGGGTGAAGCTAATAAGTAACTGGCTTGAGTCTCCTTAGTCAACATTGGGGCCCAATGCTGACTAGATATCTCATGCAGCCAGTTGCATTCCTCCGGAGGTAAGAAAATGCGCTAATTAACCCCGCCAAAACTTTCGCGCCAGATGCCTCGGAGCTCTAACATCTACCCACTTGTGTCTCTCTGTTGCGCGCACGCCCACGAACCCTCACCATGGCACCAATACCTACCGAAACCTCCTCCCCAGTCCCCGCGATTGCGAACCCAGAGACTAAATCTTCCGCGCCCGCGCCCAAAGACGTAGATACGTCCGAGCTCGACACAACCACACCAACATCCTCCAACACCAAGAAGCGTAAACGCAAAGACAACGCCCAAGAAAAACAAGTCCACATCCTCCACCAGTCTACATTCCGAAAAACAGCATGGTCCTACTTCCACCTCCTCCTCCTCACACCCGGAACCGCAACCATACCACCAGCCACAGCCTCCACAGACTCGACGACGACATCATCCCTCTCACCCCTCCTAGCCTCCTCCCTCCTCACACATTCGCTGCGGTCCTACCTCGGTATCACAGGCACAGCGATACCCATCGACATGCTCAAGATCTCTGGACGGAGTGTCTGGGTGAGGATACCACGGCAGGACGCACGCGCGTTCAGAGCTAGCCTGAGTGGGTGGGTGGGCACGTGTGATGGGGAAGACATACCGGGTGTTGAAGGGGGAATGGGTGTCAAGGTCGGGGTGGCCTGGAGGGTTGTGGGAGAAGGTGGTGTGCTTGGAGGAATAACGACGGGTGGTGATGGAATGGATCTCTTTGGGTAAAGATGAAGGGATGGAGTATTTAGGCAACGACAAACTTGGGGTTCCAGAGAGAGAGAGGAAATGATGGTACCAAGACAGCGAGATGCTGTTCTGAAGCGCATGGCGTTGCGCTGCGCTCGCTGAGGTTGAAGTCGTACAGGTCAAGGTCATACGCGTCAATTATCGTGCGCTGCGTAGAAGCGACTAGACGACACGCCATATCCTCGATAAGCAACACGCGACAGAAATGCGCCACTCTCGCGCTATGCACTCAGGGTGGAACAAACTCAAAGTCAAGAGGACATAGGGAGGGCTAGTATGGCATCTGCTACGAGCCCACATAGCACTACGGTCAAGATCTATGCAGCCACGGGTGACGCTATATCAGGTCACCGCAGCATTGGTCTCTCAGACACTACCAGCGAGAACACAGGAAGAGAACAAAGTCATTGAATCTACACAGTTCAGAAAGGTATCTCTAGCAACCTCCGAAAACCTCAGCCACCAAGCATCGCCTGTTGTTCGCATCGCGGCCTCACTCTGTCGCAACCGTAAGTTTTATGTATCCTTCGTCCGTGTATCGGCGCACGACTCAGCAAACCAGGATACGACGAGTTTACTGCCAACCAGGCTGCGGTGTATGGTGACCACCTGGAGGGCCACCGTAGCCAGCCTGGTGCTGACCAGGAGGAGGAGGATATTGCTGGCCTCCACCACCATATTGGTTAGCATGCGTAGGAGCACCACCATACTGGTTGTGCTGATGTTGATCATAGTTGCCAGGGCCGCCATAAGGACCGCTTGGTGCACCATAAGCAGGGCCTCCGTAGCCAGCTACACTAGATATCAGTTTTGCGCATCCTTTCCCTCACGCGTGTTTGGTCCATACCTTGTTGTCCATAGCCACCTGGTGGACCCCCATGTGGTGGTCCTTGCCCATAACCTGGTGCTGGCCCACCATATCCTGATTGACCGCCGAAACCAGCTTGCGAGCCATAGCCATGTTGCTGGCCACCGTGCTGTGGCTGGGGAGTGTGTTGTTGTGAGCCGCTGTAGCCGCCGTGGGCCTGACCCTGACCATATTGTTGTCCGTGACTCGGAGGACCGCTGCCGTATTGGCCGCCTTGAGCGCTGTGGTTGTAGGAAGTTGGTGGTGCGGTGCCGGTGTAGGTTCCGCCTGAAGAGGCACCAGAGTAGCCGTAGTCGCCAGCGCCGTTGTTTGGCTTGTTGTGCTAGATGTTGTCAGCGCATTTCCTCAAGTCGTCTGACGTCGAGGGCATTGTACCGATCCACCACCGAGTACGCTCCCAAGCATGCCTCCGAGCCCGCCTCCGGAAGAACTGCCACCATGTTGTTGACCTCCAGACGAACTTCCGTGCTGCTTCCCACCACCTAGCAGACCACTAGCAAGCTGTCCAACAAGGTTGCCGGCACCGCCGCCGCCACCAGAGTGTCCGCCAGAAGAACCGCCATGTTGTTTCCCACCGCCCAAGAAACTCCCCGCGAGTTGGCCAACGAGGTTTCCCGAGCCGCCGCTGCCATGGCCTCCACTACCACTCTGCTTGTTTCCCATAAGCGCGTTCATCGCAAAGCCCTGTATGCCCTTTGTCAGCCTGCATGCCCGATTGATGCCCAAGTATGTCGAGTGTCTCATACACCCAGTCCGCCTGCCCTGTCTCCAGTCGGGCCGTCGCCCATGCCTCTTGTTCCATCGCCCGCGCCGTCTGGACCTGATGTGCCGGGTACGTTGTATGGGTTCGTTGATTGCGCCGGGGTGCTGTGGTTGGAGGAGCCGCCTACGGGGGCTTCGCTGGTGGGCAGTTCCCACTGCGAGACGCCGGTGCTGATTTGGACATCTGTCGCGGAGGGTTAGAATGCGCGATGTTGTTGTAGATATGGCGCGACCAAGCCGACTAGGGCTACGTACAATAATACTTTCGTGACCTGGCGTGTATGTTAGTTTCGTGTCGCGGGGCAACGAGTGCGAGGGCGGGGCGGCCAAAGCATTATATGGTGGGCTTCAACATACGAGTTATCCCACTGCGCTATCCATCCAGCAGGAAGCTTGGGGAGGGTAGGGTCGGTAGGGCCCGAGTCCGGCGACACAGGCGGGATGGGAGGTGTGGGTACCGCCATGTTGTTTTGTGGAGAGGCGATGGCGGGGTAAGGAAGAGAGAGGATGCGATAGAAGAGGGGAAAGAGATATAAGAAAGTTGGTTAGTAGGGGAGGAGAGGCGGCCGGGGATATCAATACATCGCAGCCAGCGGTTATATGACAGGAGTGCGAACAGCAATGGGCGAGTGGTCCTTGTTAGCGTTATGGTGGGGATTGGCCAGGATGCTGGGACGCTCTGCGAGGCTGTGCACTTTACGCAGTCAGGAAAGGGACGCACATGTCCGGCAGGCGAATGTGTTTCTTTCAGCTGGCTTGCGTCTTACTGCGATCACATTGCTACTACAAACAGCTAATCACATCTCAACGGCACGTTCGGACGTGGACTAAAACATCCTTATTCCACATGTGGCTGAGACAGCTACTAGCGACCAAGAAAAGCCAGAGCCCAACCTCTCTGCCGCGCCCGATTCAGGCCCAATACTAACACACGGATATCTGAATAAGTAACCAAATCAACGCCTGCCTAATGCATAGTTCCTGTCTTGATCCGAGCAAACATGCCAAACTGACTCCTGTTTGCATACGACGTCATCCGCGTCTGAAACCCGAAACACCAAAAAATCACTCATTAGTTACCACGCATCCCCGCCTCCGTTATCGTTGTCGTCATCCTCATTACCGTTCCACTCTTCGTCGCCGCTGGGTTCCGCGTCAAGAAAGTCAGCTTCATTGAAGATCTCTTCGCGAGGACGGAAGTTATCGATGCGGAAGATTACTGTGTGACACCGGCCTTGCACGAATGGCTCCTCTTCATCTGACACATCTTCTTCAGAGGCCGAGTCTTCGTTTGACTCCTCGTCGTAGCTGGTCGCTGCTTTTGAGCGAGAACGGAGACGCTTCGAACCCCATCGCTCATCTTGCTTCTGAGCGCGCGATTGTAGCAGTGGAGCATCGTCGTCACTACTACTGCCGTCGTCTACAACAACTGGTTCGGGTTTTGACGTTTCTTCTGAGATGCCCTCAATGAACGAGTCTACCCTCTCTTCCTCACCACCACGTTCCTTCGATTCCCTAAAGGCCCTCAGAGACGCGAGGTTAGGATCAGGTGCTTCCCACCTTCTTGCATAGACCTTCTTGAACTTGGCGCTCCACTTCTGCCGGAACTCTGCTCTCTGGCGCCAGTCGGTGTCCACCATGGCGATAATGGTGATCTCCTGCAGCCAGGGCATTTCTTCGGCCGAGTTGATGAGCGAATTGAAGAAGTTGTCGGCAGACTTCGAATTCCACTTGCGTAGATACTGGAAATCAATGGTTCGAAGTGTTGTTGGCCAGGTAGGCATTTCGCTCTCACCAAGAAGTGTCTCGTAGAGAGGTTCGTTGTCAGCAGACATGACTAGAGAGCTATAGTAGGTTGTGTCCATCCTTAGAACCTCAAGCTTGGGACAAGAGCGTTTCAAGTCAACTAGGAATGACATATCCAGGGCCTGATTGTGATTGAGGGTCAGTTCTTCAAGCTGAGAGCCATGGGTGGTCAGGAAATCCGAAAATGCATCTGAGAGTAGCTCGCCACAGTTCACGATGCTGAGGCTGGTGAGGTTCGTGGGCAGCAAAGGAAGCAGGCGCCCACTGACTATGCCGCAAGTCTCAAAGGATAGATTCTTAAGATTAGGAAGCACAGCCAGCGCAGACGCTAGCAGCTCCTCTATTGTTGGCTCGCCCTGATGTTCTTCAGGATCCCCATGAGTGGCTTCAGGATGGAATTTAGTCAATGTTAGATCGCGAAGGCTCTGGAAAGCATGGTCGGCATGAATCGTCTTGATCCATAGAGGTCCTTGGCTACAGAACGTGCTGTTCCACCGCCAGCTTCTCAAACGCAGACTAGTCTGTCGAAGAGCGTCGAAGAGTTCAGCAGGATATACCCAGCGCCGAAGTCGTCTAAGTCGTGGGCGAAAGGGAGGCCGATCCATAGGATCAAAGATGTCAATCTCACGCAGTGTGGTCAGTGACTGTACCAGAGCCGCAAGATCAGTCACGCTGTTGGCATGATCCGTCAGAGCAGTCATCTGCGTCGCATCTAGCTCTAATCGCTTGACCATGACGCGATAATCACCGTGTGCCCCAGGTGGAGGAGTGATGAGGTGATGAACGAGGTCTTTGCGTGTCTGCCTAATTGCGAATATGGGCGGGTTTCGGTATAAGGCCGTCAGAGCCGGCTTTGTAAAGGCTGAACACGTCTTGGCCATCTGTACAAGCCATGATATCGCGGGGGTGGGCTTCATGTTCTCGTCGTGAAGCGGGTGGGAAGCGTAAACAAAGATTTGGAGGAGTACGTGATATGGCAGAGAGGCCCAGGCCTAGACATGAGGATTAGAGCTAGAACATATATGTGATGAAGCAGACATACCGGCTTGTGCCCATCGGAGGGAATCGTCGTCTTGCGCTCGACCTGACTCTCGTTGTTCGGCTTCAGTGGTGCGCCTATGGTCGCCTTACGTCGCGATCTGCTCCTCTTTATACCTACAGTCTTCCCAGATCGTGATACTGGTGCCGCGACAGGTCGTGACCGTGTCCTCACCGTCATGACCTGCTCTTCTTCCAGCTCGAAGTCGCCATCGGGGTCCTCCTCGTCTTCATCGTCTGTGCTGACATCTTTGTACGAAATCTTTGGCGCTCCTCGTCTCCGTGAGGTTCGTGACTCCCGTTGAAGCTTGACAGAAGCGGGCTGTGGTGGTGGTGGAGAATGCTCGCTTTCGCTGGCGGCTTCGTCGTCGGCTGCCGGGCGGCGAGTGGATCGGCGGGTAGGACCGGTGCGCTTTCTGGTGGTTTGCTCATAACCGGAGCTTTCAGAGAGGTCATCGTCACTGCTTGGCTCCTTATACGATACAGCGCCGCGTTTGCGCTTCAGTGTTACAGCCATGTCGTACGACGTAGGGTCCAATGACTGTCGAGGGCTAGTTTGAATTTGAGGGGCTGATTAGTATTAGGTCTAACTTATAAGGGGCACTTAAGCCCTGCAAGGTAATCGCGAAGGTGCATGAAGCAGGTCGGAATGTGAGACAAAAGAGTGGTAGTTGGAGGCGAGTGTTGCGACAGTGAATTGTCGATGCATGCGGACCACGGAGGTAAGAGGCCATCAATGAGATCATCCAGGATCACCAAGCCAATGCAGCTTAGCGGCACCACCCGTGTGCACGTGACCCTTGTCGACACAACTCCCGCACACAGCCGTCAAGCATGTGGAGCGTCCGAGGCGTTCGCGTTGGTCTACAGTGAATGTTGCGGATACAGGCCATTCGCCTTCTCGCCAGCTGAGCGCTATCCGCTTGTGCGCCATCGCGTCGTCCCTGGTTGCCATCGTGCGCCACAAACCTCTCCGACACAACAAACAGCGACAGCGAGAATACAACTGACGCGACCCTTTGTCAGCAGTTCCAAAGCTGAATGAACGACGGTGCATGATTGTTGCGCGTCGACTTATATCGTGGGATTGTCGCGCGCGGCCCAGGGGCGTCAGACCGCTAGAAACAACAACAACCCTGCTTTCCGCCATCTTCACTTTCTCATCCGTCTTTCCATCTGCAAAGCCATACTGCCGACACCCAGGATAGCGGCGAGGAACCGCAAAACTCTGCATTCTCTCACTTGGACCCACTAATGTGCGCCCTCACCACGCGTTCTCGGTTGCTATAGGATGCAACTGAGCAACCGAGGAATTCTGTAAGTAGATCAAAGTCCAAGCAGAACGTTCCCTAACATGCGTGTGCGCTGGCAGAGCATGCTAGGACGGCGAGACAGATTTACTGGAAATATACTTTTTTACGATTATCTTTACAAGACGAAAAGGCACCCATTCTTAGAGCGGAACAGAAGACGAGTGCACTCTTCCCGCAACGAGGATTACAACGAAGAGAAGGGATTCGATTTTCGTGCCACTTGGCGGCCCCCATCTTGGGATTTACTGAACGATATGATCTTAGCAGAAAGGGCAGCGGGGTCCTTCGTTCTTCAGGCGCACGGGATTCGTTTACAGAATGGTCGGCAAGCTCCTTGTGGTGGTCGTGGAAATGACCTGGCAAAGAAGGCGCGGACTTTGTTGCGATTGACCGCGTCGATCAAGACGTCGGTTGTTTCATCATCTCCTGATCCGCCATGTAACAATCCGCCCGAACAGGAGGCAATCCTGCGAGTCACTGATAGGCGGTCGGATCGGGAGGCGTCGATTGAGATGGAGCCTATCATCATTTATCGCGAAGACTGGCACACCGATCCCAGTGATATCGATGAAAATGACATACACAGAATAATGCTCAGTCTGAATTTCGACAATGACAACAATCTCAAGGACTTGTGCGAGTTTATGGGCCTCAAAATCTCGGATTCATCCGCCCGCCTGTCTACTTCGTATGGGAATATTTTCGACGTGCCAGAAGGGAGGGTCATCTTACCATTGAAAGCATCTGGAAACCAGCTCGGCATGGGGCTAGAGGTCAGCATGCATTGGAATCCGCTCAAACGAGACTCTGTCTTGATAAGCCACAACCGGCATCTTCGAAATACGATAGAATCTTCCAGTTCATATCCGACACCACCTCTCGATCAGGAACCCCGATATAGGCTCACTTTCGTCTATGGCAACGACACTCTTGAGCGATCTGAACTCATGTGCCCGCATTGCTCAAAAAAGAAGATAGCAGATATCGAAGACCTCAAAATGCACCTCATCAGCTGGCACGAGTACTTTGACTATCATGTCACCCTGGAACAAGTCGACGAACATGGGATTGAGCACTGGCGCTTCGATAGCGAAGTAGCCAACTATAGAGCGGGTCAACGTGCAAGTGATACTGCCGATGAGCCTGCCGACGTGCGTGTACTCGCACCAGCTCAGCCCTTCAACAGACGAAAATTCTTGGCAGGCGACGATGAGTTCGAAAGAACTGCCAGGATAGAAAAGCCTACCAAACACGCAAAAGCGAAACCAGCAACGAATGGCTTGAAAGTTGCGCCAGGACCGAGACCA